TTTTCACTGTGAAGCAGGAAATTGTACAAGTTTCTATAAAAAGCTAAACACACAGTAGGTCATTTTAAACTTTATTTAAAAAGAAAAAAATAGTACTACAAACCCCTATCTTATTTAGGGAACAATTATTTGAATAATTAAGTCATCTGTATGCGTAAATTATATGTTCAAGGATCCAGTGTGCAACATTTAGAAGAAAACTCTTATAAATAACAAACATGAGCGAATGGATTCTCCTCCGAGGGGAACACAATTACTTAAACAGAACTAATTGGTAGGCAACTGCAGACGTTATAGATTTTTGGGGAAATTGAAAATAAATGCAAATTATCATCAGCGTGACCTGTTTTTCATATCTTTCAATTAAACTGTGATAGGTTTACTATACTTGTATCTAAAACAATTAATCTCTCATAAGCTGCAAGCCCTTTTATACAAAGCTGTTCATCAACTCGCTCTGACTTGCAGAGCAGGGGTTGATTTAAACACAGAGAATTTTAAGATAAAACAGGTTTAGATAAATGTCATGCATGTAACAAAACAAAAAAAAAACACTGAATTTCGAACCAGTCTTTTCCAACATTCACTTTGCTGCAATGAGCAGCTAACTTAACTAAACTTACCTTGTTGCAAAATATTGTCAAAACTATTGCATGTGTTAACATATAGCTACCACTGGTGCAAGCCATTCACATCATTTCCATTTTAAAAGCTCTCCTATATGCAAAGGCTGTTTCAAAATGGTAAAAGAAACCAAACAAAGTAGTCAAGGATACAAGCAGCACTTTAAACTCCCCAGGTCCCCATTCAGCATCTGCACGGTGTTACATTGTGTCACATCCAGAGAAGCTGCCAAAACAGCAGTGACCTGTTGAGACATGGTCACAACACCCCTGGGGTTGTCATGTAATATCTGTAACCTGTAACAAGGACAAGGAAATGTGTGGTTCGATGTGTGTGAACCAGTCTTGTTCTGGTCCAGTAAAACATCAAGGAGCAGGTCAGACGCAGGTATGCTGCTCTCTGGGTTTGTTTACGACTCAAAACACACAGGGTGTGGGGCGGAAATGTTAAGACATTTTTGTAGGAAGAAAAGCAAAATGACGTAAAATAAACAAAACGTCATGCACGGCTCCCCTCAATGCTTACAGCCCTCCGCAAGTTTACAATATTTACGAAGGTGAAAAAAATTATGAGCAGATCGATAATTGTGAAATTTGTGTCTTATGGCTTCATAAAATAAATGCGGTTGGCCCCTCTGACGCTTAGGAAGCTTTAAAGCCTAACCCTTTTTAAAAACGGTCAGACAATTCACATTTTTTTTAGAACTGACATGTTTATTGGGCCTTTAAACAAAATCCAAAACTTTGTTTTGACACATCACTTTGTTTATGATGTATTTTTTTGTATCAAATCTGATACACTGGGCTGTTTTGGTAACATTTTACTCACAAAAAAGTTAAATTAAGAAACAAAAGACAGTTTTACCTGTAACTTTTAACAAGTTTAGAACACTAGAAAGTTTACTTCTTTGGGTTTTTTTTACAATGAAGTTTTTACAGCCACTTATTTCACTTCGTGGTAGGCACAAAAACAGTTTCTGTCCTTGTTCAGGCACAGATGTACCTTACACTTTATAAAAAATGCCATCTATTATCATATTGACGACATTTTCTTACTTTCTTTTTTCTCTCTTCTTCCTCAATTCTCTTTGACATCTAACAAGTAAATAATTAGTCAGAACAGCATAGAGATTATAATTTCAAAGGAACCACTTTGAAAATAGCCAAAATGTGTTTTCAAATGGCAACTAAATATTTAGTGCAGCTCACTGACATTATAAAAGGCATAAAATCAAGAGTTTGTGATTCTTGGTGATATCAATATGAATTGGGCTGATAAAACTTCCAAAGTCCTGAAAGCAATGTCTATAAATTTAGGGCTTCAACAGTTAATTAAAGTACCATCAAGATTTGGCAAGACATGCAATTCCATTTTGGATCTTATTTTCACAAATCGATCCTCCATATTTGGCATATCTGGAGTTACAAATACTTCAGTCTCGGATCATTCACTTATTTATGTCATTAGAAAAAAACCTTAAGAAACCTACAAGTCATGTGCATAATTTCATTAAAAGGATTCCAAAAATCAAAGTTACCCATGTTTCATGCTGAGATTGAGAATATTAACTGGAATGAGGGTATATCTCTGTCAAATCCAAATCGCATTTTGTCAAATTTTTATGATAAGTTGGAGACAATACAGGAAAAATATATTTCAACTTGTAAAGTTCCAGTCCGGAAAAATAAAATTCCATGGTTGAATGCCTCCATAATACATCTCCTAAAGTTGAAAGCTTCTTCAATGAAAACTTATAGAATATCAAAAACTTCTGAAAATCGGTCTCGTTTAAAAGTTACCAAAATAAATGTCCAAAAAATATTATGGGAAACGACTAAGTCAGTGACAGGTGAAAGTAACAATAAAACATTTAATAACAATTCACAAATCTCAGTAAATGGACTTCTTGTTTCTGATCATGAAATAATTGCTAACTTATTTAATGAATATTTTATTTCTTCAGTAAGGACATCATTACCGGGACAAGCTAATAGTTTAAAGTTATTTAAATATCCTGACACTTCAAAGCAATTTTCATTTTCTGAAATTTCACAGAGTGATGTTTTGAATACACTCCAATCTCTAAATGGCTCACATGCATTTGACAAATATAACATAAATATGGATTTCTTGAAAATGCATGCCAACACTTTTTTTTAACCATTGTTTCATCATTTGCTTAATTTATGTATTGTGCAGTCTATTTTCCCTGATGCCTGGAAGTTTGCTCAGATTACTCCCATTTTTAAATCTGGTGATCCAACAGAAGTTTCAAACTATCGGCCAATTTCTGTTCTTCCTATTTTTTCTAAGTTACTTGAAAAAACAATATTTAATTAACTACTTCAGCATCTAGAAGCTAATAATATGCTAAGCAATAGCCAACATGGTTTTCACACGTCAAGGTCAACCATGTCTGCATTAATTTTATTCACTGAACAAATACGTGCTGCTTTGAACAAAGGTCAAGTAACTGGTGCTGTATATATTGATTTTCGTAAAGCGTTTGACACAGTTGATCATTATACTCTCTTACAAAAGTTGATTTCTTTTCAACTTTCATCATCTGCAATATGAATGTTTTCCTCTTATTTGACTGATATGTGTCAGGTTGTGAAACATGGAAGCTCTGTGTCCAGGTCTCTGCCCTGTTCCATGGGAGTTCCACAGGGTAGCATATTGGGCCCATTGCTTTTCCTTTTATACATAAATGATCTTCCAAAAATATTGAAGTTTTCAAATATTTTAATGTATGCTGATGATACTGTCCTTTTTTTGTCTGATTTCAATATTGAATCTATTAATAGTCAGTTACAAGCAGATCTTCAGACATTTCATGGTTGGCTTCAAGATAATCTTTTGTCAATTAATGTTAAAAAAACTGTGTGCATGTATTTTTCCTCACCYAGGAGACATTTCAATATAACAAATCAACTCACTTTTTTAAACAAACCCCTTGATATTGTCACTACCTACAAATATCTTGGAATTACTTTGGATTCTCATTTGATTTATCGTGATCATGTACAAGTCTTAACCACTAAGTTGAAACAGAAATTATAAGTTTATTCAAAAATTAGATCCAATCTGACATCTCCTGTTTCAAACATCTATCTTCATGCCATTATACTCTCAGCCATGTCGTTCTGTTTACCTGTTTGGTCTCTTACAACAAATGAAATCTTAGAACCCATAGTTAGGCTCTACAACAGGGCCTACAAAATTCATAAAAACTTCCTGGTTGGACTCATCACTGTACAGTTCTTTCATTGTCTGATGCCTTGACTTTTCAGAATTATGTTTTGTATAGTTGTATTAATTTATATTTTTAGATCTTCCTAGGTGCCAATTATGGAACTCTCTGTGCATTGCTGCCCAAATCAAATTCTGGAAGTGGTCATTCAGCTAGATCTGTTACAAAAGAACAACTGATATTACCAACTTTTAAAAACTGTTACGGCCAGAGGTCTTTCTTCTATGTTTACACTAAAGCATGGAATGACATTCCTCAAAACATAAAGTCCATTTCAAAACTACAGCCCTTTAAGAAGAATCTTGTCTGCCATCTGCTGGACACTTTTTGTTGTGCTCATATTTAGACGTCCGATTTTGCAAATGCTGCCTTTTTGAAATTTGGTATGCTTGTTTGTCTTTGTGTCTATGGTGTAATAATGATGATGTGATTGTGATGCTGTAATTCTGAGTGTTTTACGTGCTGCAGAACAGGAACCTGCTTTAAAACAGTAATTATGCTGAGTCAGGCTTGATTTTAAATAATCTTTTCCTGTTAAATAAATAAATCAAATCAATTTCAGTAATTAATCATCCAAAATAATGTTTGTTGTATTGTCACAAGAATCCTAAAAAGTCTTTCTAAAAACTAGCGCTGACAGAGAAATAGTAAAAGCGTGGGGATGCTGAGCCGTGTTACCGAACAGCATGAAACTCCACCACCAGTCATGACAGCTGCATCCACTGAGCTCAGGATGAAATCTGAGGCCCTGGTAAACACAGTCAACCGTCAAGTTTCATCTGAAGAAATGCTTGCTTGAGCACAGCTCTGTACTCACTATCCCCTTATGACCATCATGGAAACCAATGAACTGGTATTCACTGCAGCAGTAATCCCACAGATATTTGGATATAAAATCAAAAATGCTGCTTGCAGAGTTTCCTTTCTATAGAGGGAAGAAGCAGAGTAATGTTTGTCAGCTATAACTGTGCATAGAGGAGTTATGGGAAACAATAAAATTACTGGAATGAGATATAGACATATAAAGAAGAAAGAAGCAATCCCATCAAACCACCAGGTGCTCATTGGATTGAAAGAGGCAGGCTAATGTTGTCGACTTGATTAAGCTCAGGTGTGGGCATTACCACTGCTGCTGGAGGGTTACCACATGTCATTTACAGCTCTGAGTGCTTTCTGGTGCCATAGCAGCCACGCCCGGGCTTTTCTGTGTCACAGATGGCAATCTAAAAACACAATCTGCCGAGCACAAAAAGGCAAGGCCACAAAAGAAATTAGGTTCATCAGATGAACACGTCCTAATCCTGTGCCTCTCAGAACTGCATCATTTCTACCATTTGATCAGCTGAACATCTGGGACGTGTGTGTGTGTGTGTGTGTGTGTGTTTGTGTGTTTGTGTGTGTGTGGATTAGCAGTTTCTGAGGCAGATGTGTCAACTGAATTTTTTGTTCCATCATGGCTGGATTATCAATGAACACAGCACAGTTGTCTTCAATGGAACGTCCACAGCCGGGTCCGTCGTCTTCAGAATGAATTCCTGCCCTTCACTCCCAGCAGTGTGGGTAATCCTATTGTTTGGTAAGGAGCACAAACTTTTGGCAAACACTTCTGTTTAAACAGCAGGGTTTTGGCCACAATATACACTTCTTTATTTACTGAGGAGAGGCCATCTGTTAGAACAGCAGGAACTGGACATTGGTAATGTCAGGGTGGTTTTTGTAAATAAACTTCCAGTACCTTCTAGAACTTTGTGAAAGACACAGACTTAAACTTTTTAACCAAGCTGAACTTAAACAGTAAAATCAAATGATTAAAACATAGCTGTTTTACTGAAACCAACAAATACTGTAAAATAGTCCAAAACCTCTAATTCAGACAAACTTAAGGCTTCAGTATGGTCGCTCGGCAGACGACCCACAGTCACGCGGTTGTTTGGTGTTTGTTTTCGCACACACATGAGACACACCACGCCGAGCTCCTGGGAAATCCCTCCTGCTAGGGTATACATCACCGCACAGGGTTTTCTCCCGATGGAGTCTGTGATGCGAGACATATCACCAGACGTTATTTGTGCACAAATTTGTCTCGGTTAAAGCTCCACAGTTTTTATCAGACAGATTCCTCAGTGCGTAACGTCTCTTACCTCCATCCATGAGTTTTTGGTCATTTGACTCTCTTTATAAATGTCTGCTTCCAGGTAGGCTACAACAGTCAACTTCTGGAAGCAAGAAGTTTTTTTTTTTTTGTTTTGTTTGGTTTTTAAATGAGTGGTTGAAGCAAAATTCAGCGTCTTGAGCACTTTCAGCATAAACAAACACTCTCATGACTTCTGTCCAATCACACAATGTGTTCTTATGTGGAGGGGCGTAAAACGTTTGGCGGAAATGTTGAAAATGTGAACCGAATGACACAATTTTCGTAATGAAACTGCGACAATCTATCTGATTTGGACAGTTCAGATGCAGCATGGTATGTGCTTTAGGCACTTTGATAAATGCATTGTCCGACTGGACCAGTGCACAGGTCAGATTTCTGTATCTTCAGTCACTCTTTTAATGCTCAGACACCCCCCACCCCCATATCATTTCAAAATCTATCTAAATGTTTTATCTAGTTTGTTTTCTGCATTAGACTGGAAAATTGTTGCAAAACTGCTGCAATTGCTTCTGAATGTTTAATCTTTTGATGACCTCTGAATCCTTAACGGGTGGTCCAATATATATAAAAATAATAAAAAATAAACTGTTTTGGAATCAGTACATGAGTCCATGAGGCTTATGAGTAAAAAAAAGGAAAAGCAGCTCTAAAATAAGCTTGAAAATCTTATCAAAGTATAACTCTTAGTGAGCAAAAAGAAAATGTACTCAGTAAACAAAATATGTAAACTCTTTGACTCAAAACATGTTTATATCTTATAAAAAAGTCCATAGGGAAAAAAAAGCAAAGACTTGGATGAATTCATAAAGTTGAAAAACAAATTATTACGTCTTTAAAAACCGAACATTTTAATTGGTCTGAGAATTTTTTCCTCGGTCCATAATGACTCTAATTTTAAGGCCATATTGTCATGTTGTTTAATAATGCCAGATACAGATGGCTGCCTGTTATGATGCTTAATCACTTTAAGTCATAAAAGTACTACAACTATGATTGGATTTGGCACTCCAGGCACAAATACACATCAAAGTGCACATGGTGTTCTCTACTGGAAAATTAAACTAAACAGAACTAACTTTTTTCCTTTTTGCAATTTGAAGACTGCAGATCCATGGGTTTTCAGTGATCTTGTTATAGTGTCTAAACCAACCACATTTGTTTTTAAATGCCTTGTATACATCTCCATAAATACAGAAAATAATAACTTGCCCTTCTTATGATCCCCAGCTGCTACAGAGATTAAGAAAAGTCTTTTGTGTCTCACTCCTCCCTCAGTCCTAGAAATGTCTGGCCTTTCTCCAGCCTCAGTGTTGTATTGACTCTCAGAACAATGATGGATTTCACTCGGTCAGACGGCACATTTTGTGACAACGCAGCTTTATGGAATGTACCTTATTTTGACCACAATGACGACGAGCACAATCAATAATAAACAGAAGGCAGAATTCTGAATAATGTGTTCCATTCACCATATCTGGGGAGAAATGTAATAGGGAAAAAAAAGTCTACACGCTTTCAGTCCCTCTTAACCTATTTTCCAACCCGTCTTAGTTCGCTCTGATTTTCAGCACAAAACTTCGGCTCTGAGTTCCACCTTGCTCATTTGGCTTTGAAGTGTCAGTGTCTCCTTTAATTCAGTCTTCAGTAAGAACACGTAAGCATTCCGGGCAGACACTCAGGGCTCAGTTTGTCATCAGGACAGCCTGGCAACACATGTAATTTTATCTCTGAGCGAGGAGGTAGCTCCATTCAGGTGTGCTCCTGTCTCATAGTGCCGACAATAACTGCCTGTGCTGCTCTTCCATTTGGTAATTGTCTTTTGATTGAGGTCATCAGGACAATTAAAATCATTGAGGGATGAAAAGTGGTAGCTGGAGACTTTAGACAGCTATGCTATGTAGTAGAGGGGGTGAACAAAGCGCATGGAGGAGATAATTGTGTGTTAAGAAACCCAGTGAAGTCAGGAGAAGACATTGCACACGAAGTTGTCTATTGCCTTATCACAGTCTATTAATTGTATGGCCTTTTATTTATATATAAAAAGAGATAAAGTTAAAGGTGGTTAGAGGGAGTCATTAATGATTATGCCAGTATGATTAAGTTTTAGGCCTCACTGCTCGTCAGTTTTTGTGGGAATCTTTCTGTGTGGAAAGCTAAGTGTAGATTTCATGATGGCCTCATTATCCAACAGGTTTAGCAATAACAAAACTGTCTTTGGTCAGTAAAGACAATATCCACTTTGTTCTTATCTAGAAAAATGACATATCATAAATGATACTTCTAAGGAAAAAGGGGAAATATTTTTGCTCATTCTCTCAGAGCTTTTGGAGAGTTTGTGAAACGAATATTTTTTGCAAAGACGACATCACTCAGCCAAACTGTGTCAAAAGCAGGTCAGCAGTTTCTGAGAAGTTGCTTGTGACGACGCAGCTTGAAACAGGAAAACTGTTCAAATAATAGATAGAAAACTGCTTCTGAGCATTCACACATTGTTTGCCTCAACTATAGTTGTCAAAATGACAGGTATGAGGCCAGAGTTAGAAAGTATGCACTCATCCCCACAAATGTATCCTCTGCAGTGTGACAATAACTATTCTTCTTCTTTTTCTATCTCCACAACCTATTATGTGTGAATGTGGATCACTGAAGCATTGGCAGAACAGTCTTCTGTTTCTGTGTGGGACCATGTCTACTGCCAGATCCTTCAGGACTAATGAGATCCAAATGGTCAGGATGAGGATGTGGAACATATCAGAGGTTTATCTAAGAAACTAATATATCAAAAGTTACCAAACACTGAGCCTGTGAGGGGGTGTGGAGGGGATTTTTTTCTTTTACCTTCCCTCACAATAGGCCTCATGCAAGAACATGTTCGTATTCTTATCCTAAATTTCTCTTACTTTTGTTGGTACGAAGGGTTCGTACGAACATGTCATGTCAAATTCAACAAACTCTTCTATCTTCAGGAAAAGTGCGTAAATGAGCTGCGTAAATTCCGCCTGTTCTATCCAGCTGCTCGTGCACGCGTGAGGAGATTAGCATAATTACCACCCCAAAAACACCGTATAAGGCTATGTTTCCTGCCTCAGATATCAGGAAGCGTCCATTCATGAAAATGACAGCGGAAATTAAAAAGAAAAACTTTATGAGTTCAGAGATTGAAGTCCGTCTGTCAGAGATCCAGAAAAGAAAATCTGTCATTTTTAGCAGGTCAGCTGTGGAATAAAAACAGCTGCTACTGTAAAAGTATAAACAACTGTGTTAAATCATTTTCATTTATTCAGAAGACACAGCGCTGCGCACCGTACACCCCCCCCCACCCCACCCCCGCTGCGCGGTCGCAGGTGGTCTCAGATGCGGGTTTGAAATAAGCATTTTAAAACGTTTTCAAAATAAGTCTGGCACTTTGGAGAAAACCCAGAACTCGCTGGAGGGATCATGTATCCCCTCTGGCCCGGGAACGTCTCGGAGTCCCCCAGGACGAGCTGGAAGGTGTCGCTGGGGAGAGCGGGGTCTCCTGCTGCCCCCGCACCCGATAGCGGGTAAGCCGGCCAGACGGACAATTTATATTATTAGTCTAAATTATTACATTTAAAATTATAACTCTAATTCAAGCAGAATAGCCTATTGTCAACATAATTATGGAGTGT